TTCACCCAGTGCATTTATTTTTACCTTTCTGCTCTTGCCAACGCTGTGACTTCTCGTAGAATGTCCTCCCACAACTTCTCTTGTCCAAAATCTTGATCATCCTTTAAGGCACATTTAAATCTATCAAGAAATGGCCACAACCAACCAACTGTGCTTCTAAAAAGCTCTTGTCAAAAGGCATCCTGTCTTTGTGTCTCCCCCAGTCAATTACAGTAGGTTGAAAGCAATATTTTTATATATATAACTACACTGAAATGTCACTATATATTTTCCAACTGAGTAAAAAAAATCACTGCTAGTGGGAAAATTCAGTCAAAGGTGGATGGGAGCAATTGCTTAGAATCTTTCTCAAATGAGAAAATACCAGGTGGTTTTCAAGTGTTCAAAAGCCATTTCCCTCACATTCCCATGAGGAGGAAGATGGCATATACACAATCATTACCTGGATTTAAAAAAAAAAAAAAATGAATGCAAGGAAAACTGACTAGCAAGCTTGGAATACTCTCTCTCATCGATGCTTCCAATGTTATTGGGCACCATCCACTTTATGTCAACTAGTCAGCATTGATTGAGTGCTTACAGTGTGCTAGGCACTGTGCTAAATGCACTATATACATTACTAGAAGCCCGATGCATGAAATTCGTGCAAGAGTAGGCCTCCTCCCCGCCCCCACCCCCCACGCCTCCCACCCCCTCCATCCCCCCGCTGCTGGCACCAGTTTCCCTCACAGCCCCAGCTTAGTCTGGAAGGACATCTGGAAGGATGTTTGGCCTAATTAGCATATTATGCTTTTATTATTATTATAGATCTTATTTACTCCTCCCAATAGCCCTAAGTGATCATTATTATTAGTATCCCATTAGAAGGGGTCATTGAGAGGTCACTGCCTATAGACCTTTAAGCTGGATAGAGGCTCCTCATGCCCTCCCCTACCCTTGGAATGTGTACTCTGCTCATTATTCCCATAGTGGAAGCTATTCCAAGGATGTAGCCTTGAAAGAGTAAGATTTTGTTGGGACCACTTGGACAACATATGTGACTGAACCCTATTACGGCTTCCATATAAACTTTAAGATTCTAGTATGGGGTACAAAGATCTACTAGTCTTGTGGCAATCAAGACTTAATTATCCCTGACACCTACCAATCTGGAATGTTCTGCTTTTGGCTTCAGCCTCTCCTTGCCCTCATATGCTGGGGCCAGTTTCAGATTTCACCCAAAAAGCTCCCAAGGATGCTGAAACCGGTTTGGCTCAGTGGTAGAGCGTCGGTCTGCGGACTGAAGGATCCCAGGTTCGATTCCGGTCAAGGGCATGTACATTGGTTGCGAGCACATCCCCAGTGTGCAGGAGGCAGCTGGTCGATGTTTCTCTCTCATCGACGTTTCTAGCTCTCTATCCCTCTCTCCTCCTCTCTGTAAAAAAATAAAAAAATATATATTTAAAAAAAAAAAGCTCCCAAGATTTAGAACCAACATATTTCCATTTTACAGAGGAAGTAACTGATTCACAGAGAGGTTCAGCAATTTTCCCAGGATGACAAGGCAACAAAGTGTTAGAGCTGATTTCAAAACACCCATTCTTTGCCACTCTAACATACTTTTTTTTTTCTATTCTGAAAACTATAGTTAACAGCCGAAACCGGTTTGGCTCAATGGATAGAGTGTCGGCTTGGAGACTGAAAGGTCCCGGGTTCGATTCTGGCCAAGGGCATGTACCTTGGTTGCGGGCATATCCCCAGTAGGAGGTGTGCAAGAGGCAACTGATCGATGACTCTCTCTCATCGATGCTTCTAACTCTCTATCTCTCTCCCTTCCTCTCTGTACAAAATCAATAAAATATATTTTTTTTAAAAAACTATAGTTAACATTAAAGATAGCAGTTAAATAACCTCAACTAAAAAATAGCAGTTCTAGACTATTTTCACCCTTTTCAATTATTTTTAAGTAACACAAACTCAGTGTTCAACATAAAATAATTAAATATGGGTAGAAGTTAAATTGAGCCTGTCTTCTTTTTAATGGGCCTCTCTTTTTTTCCAGCATTTCATGCATTGCAATGTTGATTTGACAATTGTTATGCCAGGAAGTCAATAATACTAATTTTCACACTTCATTAATAAATAAATGGAGGCCTCAAAAGTTATGGGATGGATCCATAGGTCCCCTGGGAATTGAGAGGGAATTCCAATAAAGCCACTTTAATCAAACAATGCCAAGCTGTAGACAAGGGTTTAGAGATCGAAACATGCTCAAGGTAATAATACCAGACTTAAAACTTAAAAGTGGGACTCTAGGTCAGAGTTTTAAGAAGATTTTAAGTTTGAAGAAAAAAAGCAGATTTGGGGAGCCATGCAAAAGTAGATCAGACACTATTGTCTTGTATTTGAATAGAAAAGGAGACTCAGAGTCTTCCATGGTTTGCAACCGAGAAAATAAGAAAGCCTTCCTGCCAGGCTTTTTAACATTTGGCAGCCTAGGACATGGAAGTACAAAAATGTCAGGAGCTCAAATGCTGTACATTGGATAGTCACAGCAATTTTTCTATGTGCTTGAAAATTTTCCTAACATAATGGTGAGACTATAAAAGAGGAGTTTATTAGGGACTATTAGGAAACTGACCAGCGTTGGAGTTTTGGCCCAGGGTACTGCTTTATGTAATTCCTTGCAAAAGGATAAAAGCAGGTTCCTTCTACAGATGAAGTAATAGAATAATTGAAGCAGCCAATATGTACTGAGCACTTACCTTGAGCTCTGCATACATTATATTATTGAATAGTCACAATTAAGCTCTAAGATAGGTTAACTTATCATCTCCATTTCAGAGAAATGAGGCAGAGGGAAGCTTAGAAACATGCCAAAACAACACAAAGCCTGCAAGGGACAGAACCAACATTCAAACCAGGGCTTATTTATAGGTAGCTCCTATTCTGCACATTCTTTTGTATTACTATTATTTTTTTAAATATATTTTTATTGATTTTATATAGAGAGGAAGGGAGAGAGATAGAGAGTTAGAAACATCGATGAGAAAGAGTCATCGATCAGCTGCCTCTTGCACACCCCCTACTGGGGATATGCCCGCAACCAAGGTACATGCCCTTGACCGGAACCGAACCCGGGACCTTTCAGTCCCCAAGCCGACGCTCTATCCATTGAGCCAAACCGGTTTCAGCTTATTACTATTATTGATTTCAGAGAGGAGGGAGAGGGAGAGAGAGATAGAAACATCAGTGATGAGAATCATTGATTGGAGATTGAGCCTACAACCATGGCATGTGCCTTGACTGGGAATCAAACTGGTTCATAGGTGAATGCTCAATCACTGAGTCACACCAGCCAGGCTGCACATTCTTTCAAGGCCACTGTGAACTCCAGAGACCAACAGGACTGCCATGTATTTATAACATGACTTGAATGTGTTTGGGACTCTCAACAGATTTAGAAAGCTTCCTGAAAACATGAAAGTACTAAATCTTCATGTTAAAAGCAGAAGGGGGCCACGGGGTCCAAACTGGGGTCCAAATCCTGGCTCTGCCACTTAAGTCACATCACCTAGCGAGCTGTAGTTTGTCCATCTAAAGAAGGGAATCCCCTTGGGAGGATACTGTGGAGATAGACTGAGATGGTGCGATTGAAGTTCTTACACAGAAGCATGGCAATCTACCAGTGAAAGACACCACTGTGGGTATTATTTCAAACTTGTAGGAAGCAGAGACCCTCAGCCCTGCTGTCATGCCTAAGTACCAAAGCCAAAGGTGTTTGAAAGAATGAAACCGGAGGAACGACCAGTATGTTAAAAGGAGGGTGGGGGCACTATGCTTTCCAGGTGCAAAACTAAGGCAATTGATTGTTATTTCAACTTGAACCCGTGAGAACCAGAATCCAACTGAGCCATTTAGGAAGCTTTTCTGAATTTGCCATTACAGGCATGAAGAAAGCGCACACACACACACACACACACACACACACACACACACACACACACACACACGGGCTACCAGGTGAAGGCAGGACAAGAGCACATTCACAATAGTTTGGTCCAGCATAGCTCTGAGATTGGCGCCGCCAGCAGGGTCCCTCACTGGGAAGGCAGGAAGCTGAGGGTCCTTGCGCAGGAGGAGGGGGCCTTCCCTCGCCCAGCAGGAGGCGCGGTCTAGAGCCAGCAATGCAAGGGCAGGGGCACTAAGAAAGCGCCCTGGGTTTGCAGGGAGGGCTGGTGTCCCCGGGGTCCCTGCGGCCGCCTCTATACTCTGAGGGCAGGAGTTTCACTCAACTATTGCGTCCTATTAATGAAAAGCAAACATCCTTGTTTTGTTTGGAAATGTTGTGGACCCCTCCATATGGTGGAGAAACCGAGCAAACACAGGAAGTCGGTCTCTGAGCTACCTTCTAGGATTGTACCCAAAGCAAAGACTCTGAGTGGAGGAAGAAAGGAGAGCGTGTGCCTAGGGTTCGCCTTCCTCTAGCCCCTTTCTTCCCACCCGCAGCCCGGGAGAAGGCGGGGAAGGGACGCTGGGCATTTCAGGGGTGCCCTGACCCTCATGCGGGGAGAAAGGCACAGCGGGAACCCAGAGGACACTCCTCCCCTCTCTGGGGACGGGGGCGCTTTCCAGGAGGGTCTACCGGCCCCAGCGTCCTAGCGCACCCCGGGCGGGCGGAGAACGGACTCTCCACGCTCCGCGGTGAGAAAGAAAGACCCTACTTTCTAGGACTAGCTGAGAGCTTACAGATCCGGGACTCCCGAGTCCACCCGAGGCTCCCCGCGAGCTGCCTGGCTATGATTCCTCCAGCCTCCAGGTGCAGCCCAGCCCGGAGAGTCCCCTTTTGTTCCTGGGAAAGCGCGGAGCGGAGCGGAGCGTCGCATCCCTCCCCGCGCGAGAGCCCGGCTGCGGGGGCGCCTCCCCGGGTCCGCTCCCTGCAGGGCCCCCGCGTCCGAGACCACCGGCCGCAGGGTCTATATAGACCCCCAGAGGCACCCTCCTTCCTCGGAAGTACTCACTTCTCCCCAGTCCCTCCGCTCTCCACGCCGTCTCCTCCACCGCTCCATAGCGCCTCAGAGGCTTCTCGGCTTCCAGATGGGTAGATAGAGATTGCTTCAGTTCCATCGCTCGTCCCTGTGGGTAGCAGGTCGATGGGTTGGACTCCCCTCACTCCATCCCTGCCGCGGGCTGCTGGGAGGGAGGCGGCTCCAGCCAGCAGCGTTTTTAAGGGGCCGGGCGCTCGTGACGCTGATCCATCGCTTCCGCCCGCGAGGGCCTGGGAGCGCCGACTGGTACCCAGGAGGGGAAGGGAAAGGGATGCAGGGCGCATGCGCAGTGGAGGCCTTGGGGGCTGGGTAGAGAGAACAGGGGGAGATGGTAACTCTAAGGAGGACAACAAAAACAACTAAAATAGAACCGACCCAGAACAAGGCCCCTGCCCCATAACTGGAGCCCATGGAGATGTTTTTGCATGGGGCTGGCACTGCGTGAGAGGAGCTTCTGAGATGTCAGCGGGAAACGAGGTTTTGAGTGGGATTTGGGAGCGCCGTCTCTATCTGTGGGCGATGGATCCATCTTTGTGGGGACTGTGCAGGAGCTGATTGTGGACCTGGGTCTGTGCTTGGCTGAGTGCTTTCTGTGTGTGTGTGAGAATCTCTGTCTTTTGCATCTGCGTGTATAGTTTGAGTATGAAATGGGACAGTCTCGTGGACTGTCTACTCGGTGTGTGTTTGCATGAACTTGAGAGAACCATAAAAATATTTGGTTCACAAGTGTAAAAAGGGTGCTTGAAACATAGATCATCATGCCCAGAAACCCATGGGTTTGTCTTACTAACAAAGCAAGGCAGCATTAAAGGTATAAGCAAAACCAGAAGCTTGATTAATAAAAATTAGTAGCATTTCCCAATAACTCTGTGAAACAGATACTATGCGGTTGGCCTTGTTTTATAAAGGATGAAACTGAGGTGCGAAAATATTAAGTTATTTGCCCAAAGTCCCACACTTTCCAAGTGGTCTGGTCAGCACATTTGGTTGAGATCAAGTGTACACTGCAACCTCAGTTATATTAATTATTTCATAGAACAATGGTAGAAATTAAATAAAAATGCTGTGATCCCACCCTAGGTGGTTTTGCCCAGTGGATAGAGCATAGGTCTGAGAACTGAAGGGTCTTGGGTTCAATTCTGGTCAAGGCTATGTACCTCAGTTGCAGATTCAGCCTGATCTGGGTGCATGGGGGAGGCAACCAATCAATGTGTCTCTCTCACATCGATGTTTCTCTCTGTGTGTCTCTCTTCCTTCCTCCCACTGTCTCTAAAAATCAATGGGAAAAAATATCCTCAGATGAGGATTAACAACAACAATAAAAATGCTGTGATCCCAAACTTGTTACATGTTTACATATGCATACATATTCAAAAAAAGAAACACTGACATTACATACACCAAACTTGACAGTGACTCCTTATGAAGGTTGAGATAACAAATGTTTTATTTGAATTCTCCAACATTCCTACAAGGTATATGTATTACTTTTATAATCAGGGAAAAGTAAATTATTTTTTTCATGCATTGAAAATAAAAGGGCGAGGAGTAAATACACAAAAATATTAACAGTGATTATTTCTAAGAATTGAGATTTGGGGAAAATCTTTTTTTCTTTTTAGTTTTTTCTTTTTTTAAATTTTCCAACATCTATCTTGGGCACAGGTTGCTTTATCATTCAAACATGAATAAATGTTGTTTCGAAGAATGTGTGAGTAATACAAACCTGTAATCCTAGATGACAAAGCCTTCCCTGACACTACGGTGCCCAGAACCCTGCTGGCTTGCATTAGTTGAGGGTGATAATGCTTCAAGTGCAATAACTGGCTGAAGTAACAGTCTGCGTGGAATTATTAAGTGGCTCTCTCAGACCTGACTCCTCGTCCTGGCTCCGTGCCTCACTCTGCTGGGAATGCCAGCAACCCAGAGGGATGCTGGGTGATTACAAAGGGCCAGGGCAGCAGAGACCATTGGAAAGACATGTTTATAATTGTCATTTTCGGTTGATGGAAAGGGAAAATAACGCATTATCACCTTGGTAATTTGATACTTTATCCAGCATGTTGACAATTTCAAATGTACGTGATACTGAGCTTGTCAGAATAGCATCGTTAAAAAAAAAAATACAGGCTTTGAAATCTGGTGGATCTGAGTTTGGGCCCTGACTCTGCCACCTGCCAGGGATGTGACCCTGAGTAACATGTCACCATCTCTCTCAGCCTCACTTGCTTCATCTTTAAAATTCAAATAGCACTGCCTAAGCCAGAGGACTGTCATAATGATTAAGTGAGATAGTGCCCCATGGCACATCAAAGGCCTCAATACAAGTCTACAAGATACTACCATTATCACTATTGCATGGTACTGGCTGATGTTTTGAGTTCTGACTTTTTGGGAATATACCCATTGAAGTCTCCAAACCAAAAACAGAAACCTATTGAAATGATATTGAGTAGAGAAACTGGACTCATCATGCATTGCTTGTAGAAACGTATAATGATGCAGTCACTTTGGGCCCACCCTGCATTGCTGATAGAAATGTACAATGGTGCCACCACTTTGGAGGACAGTCTGGCAGATTCTCAAAAGGGTACCATAGTTACCATGTGATTCAGCAGCTCCACTCCTGAGTATATACCCAAGAAAAATGAAAAATACATCCACACAAAAATGTGTGCATGAATGTTCATAGCAGCATTATTCACAATAGCCAAAAAGGTGGAAACAACTCAACTGTCCATTAACTGATGAATGAATGACATGTGGCAATCCTACCAATGGAATATTATTTGATAACTAGTGGCCCGATGCATGAAATTTGTGCAAAGGGGGGGGGGGGTTCAGCCTGGCCTGCACCCTTTCCAATCTGGGACCCCTCAAAGGATGTCCTACTGCTGGTTTACAGGAATCAGGCCTAAAGTGACAGTCGGACAACCCTCTTACAATCTGGGACTGCTGGCTCCAGTCAATCACCTGCCCCTAATTGCCCCTAACCACTCTGCATGCTGGCCTGCTCACCCCCAATTGCCCCCCCCCCTTCTAATCTGCTTATCCCCAATGGCCCCTGTCATCCCATCCTGGCCTGATCACACCCTGGCGAACCAAGGTCTCAGCGGTTCCTTTTTTTATTTTTATTTTTCAGCGCCTCCTTGAATGGAGGTCAGGGCTAGCTGGAAGCAAGTATCTAGGATTTATTTATCTTCTATAATTGAAACTTTATAGCCTTGAGCAGAGTCCAGGGGGCAACCCAATCGCTGGAAGCATCCCAAGCCTCCTGTTGCTCCAGCTCCGTGGCCGACCGCCATATTGGTTAGGTTAATTTGCATACTCACTCACGATTGGCTGGTGGGTGTGGCTTGGCATAGTGGGGTGAGGGTTAATTTGCATGTGTAGATAAAAGGGAATGTAGTATTGATACATACTACAACATGGATAATCTTGAAAACACTATAAGTGAAAAATGCCTGTCATAATAGATTACATACTGTATGATTCCATTTATATGAAACATCTAGAACTATATCTATAGAGAAAGCATATCTATTGCAAATCTATTGAGAAAGAAAGGTTAGTGGTTGTCTATGGCTGGGGATGAGGGAAAGTAAGGAGAAGGGGGCACAGCTAAAGGATACAAGGTTTCTTTGGGGCGTGGTAAACTGTTCTAAAATTGATTGCAATGATAGTTAAATAACTCTAGGAATATACTAAAAATCATTGAAATGTACCCATTAACGGGTGATTTTTATGGTATGTAAATTATATATAAATAAACCTGGGACCAAAAAAAATGACAATAAGTGAGGTTTAATCATTTAAATCATAATACATAACCATAAGGTTAAGGAAATGACTGGGTCAGCCTGAGCAGCAGCCAGTAGAGAATTGCAGGGGTCTGGCCACACGATACAAACCTGTCCTGTTCGTGGCTGAGATCTGACATCACCTAACAATGATTGTCCACCCAGCTTGTGTGTTTATGGGGATCACGTGAGGTCCCGGAGGCTGACTGGAATTTGCACAACTGTGACAGTGATTCCAGGAATCCCCTAGTTAGTTGCTCCATTGCATTGGCCTAATTCAGAAAAAAAATTTAGACTGGAAAAACACCTCCCATTTATTATCCTACCCTGCCCAGCCTTCTGTCTCTCACTGAATGTGTACTTTGTCCAGTATTTGCATGGGGTTTTCCTGAATTACTAGCCATCTTGCAACTAGCAAATAGGCTGTTAGCAAGACTATATTTATACTTCTTTATCTGGCAGTGATCATAAAAATTTAAATTGTACAAATACACTCATGAGAGAGAAAAAATTAGAAAAATCATTTTCTCTTTTCATTATGTGTCCTTTTGTGTTGTTGTGTGTTGTGTTTTATTTTCAAAAAGGAAGGAAGACAGAAACATTAATAAGAGAATAATTGATTGGCTGCCTCCTGCACAACCCACACTGGGGATATGCCCTAACTGTGAATCGAACCATGACTTCTTTGGTTCATAGGTCCAGGCTCACCCACTGAACCACAACAGGATGATGTGTTCTTTGTTCTATTTTAAATCATGGAGAAAGGGAGGGAAAGGGGGTGTGAATATGCATTCATATTGTTCTAACTCTTTCTTAGCCTCACAAAATAGGCTCTTTTGCCCTGACCGGTTTAGTTCAGTGGGTAGAGTGCTGATCGCAGGTTGGATTCCCTGTCAAGGGCACATACCTGGGTTTCAGATTCAAGAGGCAACCAGTCAATGTGTCTCTCTCACATCAATGTTTTTCTGTTTCTCCCCCTCCTTTCCACTCTCTCTAAAAATCAATAGAAAAGGAAATATCCTCAGGTAAGGATTAACAAAACAAAAAAATGGGCTCCTGCCGAGATCGGTTTGGCTCAATGGATAGAAGGACTTGGGGACTGAAGGGTCCCGGGTTCGATTCCGGTCAAGGGCATGTACCTTGGTTGCGGGCATATCCCCAATAGGGGGTGTGCAAGAGGCAGCTGATCGATGACTCTCTCTCATCGATGTTTCTAACTCTCTATCTCTCTCCCTTCTTCTCTGAACAAAAATCAATAAAATATATATTTTTTTAAATG